TTTCCCTCTGTGTTGTTGTTTTTTTAACTTTATATATATATATATATATTGATTTCAGAGAGGAGGAAGGGAGAGAGATAGAGAGATAGAAACATCAATGATGGATTGGCTGCCTCCTGCATGCCCCCTACTGGGGGGGTGGGAATCGAGCCCGCAACCCGGGCATGTGCCCTTGGCTGGAATTGAACTTGGGACCCTTTCGTCAGCAGGCTGACGCTCTATCCACTGAGCCAAACCAGCTAGGGCTGTACACTTAATATTAATGCACATTAAGCCCTTCAACTTATGGAGATGCCACAGAGAGCTTTATAAGCAAAATAAATGACAACAACAAAAACCACAAGGAAAGTTTGGAGTCATAGGAACCTGTGCTGAAAATCTGGCTGTCTTCTAGCTGTGTGACCTTAAGTGAGTTGCCTAACCTCTCTGAACTTCACCTTTCTTATTGAGGTGTGGACTGTGAGGATTAGAAACATCACTTTAAAAAAAAAAAGTACTTGGCACAGGGCTGGCTCCCACTGGGTGCTCAATTCATAATCATTTTCATTATTATTATAACCAGTGGCCCCACAAGGACAGGATATGGAGTGCTCTTCCCTGCGTGCAGGCAATAAGAGGGCACACTGTCAACAGAAAACTTAAAGATAAAATAAAGTTGAGGTGAAGCCAGTCTGCCTTCTGTTATCACCAAGCACTGGCAAATCTCAGTAATGTCAGTCATGAAGTATTCTGTCCCCAAAATACCTTTTTTCCCCTAAGTTCTCAAAAATTGATATGGTAACTGTTGAATATTATTAATATACTAGAAGCCCAGTGCACAAAAATTTGTGCACTGGCGGGGGGAGGGGTCCCTCAGCCCAACCTGTGCCCTCTCACAGTCTGGGACCCGTCGGGAGATAACCACCTGCTGGCTGAGGCCCACTCCCCTGGTGGCAGATGGCACGCCCGATCCCGCGGTGCCTGCCCCGTCTCCCCCGGTCGCACACGGCAGGCCTGGATCCCGCGCTGGGTCAGGC